GAGGTGCCCACCACAACGCCTGGCTATTTTTTGGTTGCAGCCATCATTGTTGTTTGGCGGGCCCAGGCTGGATTCGAACCCACCACCTTAGGAGTATGTGGCTGGTGCCTTAACCACTTGAGCCACAGGCGCCGAGCCTTTTTTTGTTTTTTTGTTTTTTTTAAATAGTCATTGTTTTTTATACTTGCTACGTCCCTTCAAGTTGAGAATTTTTGCTTATATTATTTCTTTGATAAACTTTTTCTTCCTTCTATCTCTTTGGGATGTCTCATATTCAGATATTATACTTCCTGTTTTGAAATTCTAATTATCACTTATTTTTCCTCCTATGAAGACCTGGCTTACTATCTTTCTTTTTTATTATACTTTTTTTTCCGTTATGATTTCTGTTTCCTCTTGGCCCTTGTTTGTTTACTTCGTTGCTTTGCTTTCATGTTAGAGACTTCCCCGCATATTTGTTGGTTCTGCTCAGGTTTAATTGTCAGTCAGTGAAAAGCTGATTTTAAGCTTTGGGTGCTGTAAGAGAGGTGGTACTTGGTGGGTTTCACTGCAGCATGATAAGGTAGTGAGCCAGCTTTTGCATCGGGGACCGATCAAATTTTGGTATCTGCCATTTTGCTTTCATTGACTAGTTAATTTTCCCTAGGGAAAAGAGAAAAGTTCTCCAACCTCCTGTCTATTGAGTATTTCATAGATGCTTATGTTCTGAGAGTTGATCAAGGCAGAGGGAACCAAGGAGTCCACAATTCAGTAGGGTGAACTTCACTTTCTGATGTTTTTATTATTATTATTATTGTACCACTTCTCCATCAGTTATGTGTGATACCACTGAGTTTAATAGCTTTCTGATTTAATTTCCACCAAAAGTGAACTCTTCAGCTCCTACTGGGATGGGATATGGAGAGAGGCAATACCTGAATACAGATAGCAGAGAGGCTCTGGAAAATCAAGGACTCCTTATACAAATTTTTAACTAATCGATCCCCTCGTTTTCAACTCCACCCCTAGAGTAATGCCTTCAGAAATCCTTCCTACCTTCTTTTCTGAACTTTTCTTAGGATCTAAAACAAAATTGGCTTTTGTCTTTTTGGTTTCCACCATCAATCACCATATCACCGATTGCAAGTGTGAGGGCCAGCTTTCCTCACTCTTTTAAGTCTAATTCTTTTACAAATATTTTGTCAGGTTTTTAGGAGGGAGGAAAGAGAGGGAATATTCAGCAATCATGTTCAACTGGAATTTCACTAATTGCAGATTTAAGTGTGTATGTATGTGTTCGTTTGTTTTTGAATGTGGTTCTTTGTATGAAAGTTGTAAGACAAAGCCCACATCTTCTGGCTGGTCCTCATACCTCATGTGTCAAGCACAGTTTATTGCATGACTAAAATAAACAATTTGTGAGGAATTGGCAATCTTAACAATGCTCTAATTTTCCTTTATATTTCCTCTAGCACATTGTGTTTTTAGTTAAGTTTTTGTTGGCCTGGATGATACCTGATGTTCCAAAAGACATTGAGGAGAGAATCAAGAGAGAAAAGTTAATGACCATCAAGATTATCCATGACTTTGAGCTCAAGAAATTAAAAGAGCACTTGGGAATTGATGACACTGAATTTTCCAAGCATGTCATGATTGAGGAAAACAAAGTACAACTGGCCAGATCAGCAATGTAATCAGCATAATGAGCAAGCAGCTGGTTGCCTATCTCACTTCACTTTTCCTCCCAGGTTATGGGCCAGAGGCCAGAAGCCATATGTCAGTTTTACCCTTTCTTCATTTATTATTTTTAACCTCAGAGTTTTTATACACTTTTATAGAGGCCAACTTCGTGATGTTGGAAGAGTACCACTTCTCTGTTTCATTGGCTGGGCCCTTTCCAAATATTGTTTTCTGAAGTCCTGTAAATGATTGTTGAACGTTCATGTAGAATTAGAATATTAGGAAATCATGGAGTGTTGCAGCTTAGAACAAAACACTGGACATGGGCTGTCCCATCACTTTCCAGTGCATCTACACATCTTTATGGTCTTCTGTTGGGTTGTTCTGTATCTCCTTCCCATCAAGAAAAATGTTGGGATAAAAATAAAGGGAGCAAAGAGGCCAAGTGAGGTATATCTAACCTGCCATTTTTAAATGTGCAAATAAAAAACCAAAATCAGTAAACTTGCATATTAAAGAACTTCTGTATCATAGCAGGGGTCTGTTCCTGAAATTGTCCTGAATAAGTTCAATTTCCATCAGAATCTCAGATAGTCCCTCCTGGTAAATGCCGGATTCATTTTTTCAAGCAAGGGAACTCCTGAGTTTTACAAAAAACTAACAACCCAGTTCTTAAAGATAACATTTTTGTTATCTTTAAACTACTGTGTTTTGAAATTAACACAGTAGTTTTGAGACCATGGATTGTCTTATCTGGAAAACAGCATCACGAAGGTGTCAGATTGCTTCAGGTCTTAAAGTAAAGATATTATAGAGAATTAAATGTGTTTTCTTAGTACTTAGAGAATGCCAGACAATGTATCCTGATTAATTTTTTGACCTTAATCTAGAAAATTGTTGAATTATCTTTGAAAAAATCAGTTTTCTTCTGGAATGCCTATTTTGCATCATGAAACCTTTTAAAGTACTAGCTGTTTGTAGACATTAGGACATGTTATTTATGAAATGTGATCTCTTTTAAACAATCTCAGATCTTTTAACGAGTTTACAACCTTTTCTTTTGATGTATACAATACTAAGTGCCTTGTGCTTATGCTTTTGACACACAAGAAGTCATATCGTTGATGATTGATATGATATAACATCTCAGTGTAAGCTTGTTTTAGAGAACTGTCATTGTAACAAACACTGTAGAGTTCAGTACCAAAAGAGGATGAGCCAAGTAAGAATGAGGTGATGGACTTGATAGCTAAATGAAAAGGTATGTTTGTTGAATTATTCCTCTCAAATGTAGGACTGTAGTACATCTACAACAAGTCTTGTTCTTTTACTTAAAAAAAATATCGCTTATGTGTAGACGTGTGTGCCTACATATTATTTCTAGAGTGATTGATACAGTCCAATTATATGGAATCTGAATCTCTAGTTTGAAATTACAATTTGCTTCCAGAAGAATAGTGTTTTTTAACTGCACACATAAGAAGAACTTTATCACAATATTTTTAAAGTAGTGTTTCATTATCTAATGCTAATAAATCTTTATGGCATTTCCAGTATGAAATATATGGTGGATAGTATTAACTACTAATCAATATTTTAGTATTTAGAACTGCGGATTATGGATTTTATAAAACTATGGGACAATTACCTAGTATTGGCAATACCGATTTGTCATCCACTGGGTAGAGTTTATGAACATTTTTTGATAATTTGAAGCGATCTCATTAGTGAAAAATAATTTCATATGTGGAGGAGATAACATTTATTGCCTGAGAAAACCAGTCAGGGTTACCATGAAATAAGCCAGAGACACAGTATTTTTGGTTTGTCAAGTCAAACTCGGTGTTACTACAGTATTATACATTGCATGCTGCTCATATCACTTCCTTCCTGGGTGCTGATAAAAAGAGAAAAGAACATGGAAATTGGTTTCTTGTATATAAACTTTAATTTTTATGACTTAAAAGTGCTTATAGAGCTAGATTGGAAAATGAATAAAGACAAATTTAACTCACAAAGTCATCTGTACACTGCAATTAAAGCAAATCAACTCAAGTGTTGGATTTCCAATGTTTATGGAAAATCTGGCAAGGGAGGAAATAAAGTAAATAATTCTTGTGATTTGTGGATACTTCCCTTTTGAAATGTTATTGAAAGATACTGTGCATTTACTTTTAAATTTCCTACCAAAACCTTTCTCTTCATTTTACAGATTTTAAAGTGAAATACAAGTATCCCTCATGTTTATGAATGCATGCTAGCCAAAATCAAGAGCGAAACCAATTCAGACAGATTTGTCTCATCTACTTAAACCAGGCATCCTCAAAACATGGCCTGTAGGCCACATACAGCCTGCCTAGGACATTTATCTGGCCTGCTGGGTGTTTTTGCCACCGCTGCCTATCCTGCTTAGGCTAAGGTGACCAGATTTTAATATTGGTAATGCGGGACGCCATTGACAGGGGGTGGGGGAGGTTCTTAATTAAAAATTTGGTCTATATGGAACAACAAAAATTTTCATAGAACACAAAAATAGTATTGTAATATATATATTTTCAATTTCAACATAAGTACAATTTATAAATATAATACATTAACAAAAATTATGCATAGGATAGCACCTGTGGCTCAAAGGAGTAGGGCGCCAGCCCCATATGCCGAAGGTGGTGGGTTCAAACCCAGCCCTGGCCAAAAAAAAAAAAAAAAAAAAAAAAAAATATATATATATATATATATGTATAGTATTATTTTATTATTTGGCCTATTTCTCATTTGAGTGAATTTTTTTTAGTAGATTGCTGTCGTTGTTTAAAAGGTCAGGAAATTTTTCATAAGAATTTGTTAAATTATATTTCACACAGAAAATGACTTTCAAAGTCTCAACACTTAATTGTGATTTTCTTGATGTCCACACTGTTTGCCGTAGAAAAAAACGCGTTCAGTGGCAGCATTAGTTCCTGGTAAGGACAGCACTTATCCCACAATTTTTAGTGCATTATTGTATGGAACATGGTTTGTTTCAAAATGATGAAGTATTTCTAAACATTTGTTCTCTATTGTGATTTTTGCTGATGCCCAAGAGTTAACATTTTCCTTATCAATATATTTTTTTAATAATGATACCGTAAGTCATAAGTGTCACTTTCAAGGCTGGCACTAGACTTTTTGCCACCACTATAAAATATAAATAATATGAGTATTGTCTACTAAATTCATGAAATAAATAAATAAATAAATAACCTAAATTATCTGAATAGCTGATTTGTTGACATCACTTGTTTAACTAGCACTAGCACGCAGTATGATGAATATCGTCTGACAGTTATAAAATGTTTTCGTGGTTGCCAATGCCAAAAAATGCCATTGTTCATTAAGTCCAAACAATGATGGTTGAATTCTAACAACTGATCAACAATGCAAACTTTGATAAGCAGTTCTCGATAATCAGTTCTCAACAATTATTTGTTATTATTAAAGTTTAACATTATAAAATTAACAAAAATAATATAAAACTCATATCCTGGTGAAATAGCCTCATGGCAATGTTGGGACCAGAATAGCTGCTGAGAGACCACCACACACATGTAAAGACAAAAAGTGCTTTATTTTGCAAGCATATGCCTAGGCCACTCTTCCCTTCAGCATGGCTGGAGGAAGGGTGACCCCCTAATGAAGTGAGCTGAGGTTTTTAAAATGCATGAGGAATTTCATCAGATGTTTTGTCCCACTGGGCTGCTATTGTCTGAGCTCTTTATGGTTAGGGACCCTCTAGAAAGGGGGGGGCTACTTGTTTGTTCCAGACAGTTTGGCTCCTTCTGAGCTAATTGTCCTTGCCTAGAAGTAAGGGAGGAAGCCAGTCTCCTTCTGATACCAATTCCACCTGGTCAACCTTGCCCAAGAGGGGAGTAGGGAGTTTACATTAGCCTTTTCATTTCCAAATGAAGTTACCTTAACCTCTTCATTCCCAAATAGAGTTACATTAACCTTTTCAGCAGCTAAAAACTGTATATATTCCCTTCCTGTTCTCCCACCATTCCCTAGCTTGTTGGGTATTCTTTCCAAAAATCGGGACTTTTTTAAAACGCCATGGGACACAGGACAAGTTGTTAAAAATCAGGACTGTCTTGCCAAAAGTGGGAGGTCTGGTCACCTTATGCTTAGCAGCCGACTTATCCCGGGGCCCTCAGTCCAGCCCTCCAATGGTCTGAGGGACAATGAACTGACCCCCTGTTTAAAAAGTTTGAGGACTCCTGAGTCTTAAACCCACTGGTGAGGGGTAAATGAAGATCGCCTGGCCACCAAATAGAAGTTGAAATTTATTAGTATGGCAGGTGATTCTATTCTCTAATCAAACACATAGGTTTTCTTTTTTAATTTTCAGAAATGTTCTAGGGAACATTAGAGACTTTATGCAAAATACAATTTTAAGTGACAAAGCCAAAAATTAGTTGTTTTCAAATTTACTTTCTCATCCTTGCCTTTATCAATTTTTCTTTGCACACCAGAAGCAGAATCCACTTCAAAATATTTACTTTGGAGGAGTCCATTAAAAAGGGAGTTTCTTAGTTAAATGGAATGCTGTCTTGTTTTTTTGCTGCATGTCATGACAACTACATCTTCTTTTAGCCTATAACATCTTCATTTAACCAAGCCATTAAGTAAGTTATCAAAGTGGAAAAGAAAAAGAGGACAATGGGAAGGAGAAAAAGGAAAGGGGGAGGAGGAGGATGAAGAGAAGGAGGAAGGAGGAAGGAGAAAGGAGAGTGCTTTATTTATGAATCCTGTTTCCATGAGAGAAAGAGGTGTTCTGAGAGGATGTGGTGCAGCTGAGGGTGGTAAGAGGTATCATCACCCTTTCCCAAGGCATCTTATGAAGGTGAGAGAAAAGCTAAAGAAATTTCCAGTTGATAACTATTATGTTTCAGAAGTAAAACTTAGGTTTCAAACTGACTTTGTAATGTCAGATGCTGTGTGTAGCCATGGTTCTCTGCTAATTGACATCAGTTGAAGGCAAGGAACTTACTTGCACAGCTCATTCAAAAAAGGAATCTATTGTTTTGAAAGAACTTTTTAAATGAATTTTAAGGT